TTTTTTTTTTTTTTTTTTTTTTTTTTTTTTTTTTTTTTTTTTTTTTTTTTTTTTTTTTTTTTTTTTTTTTTTTTTTTTTTTTTTTTTTTTTTTTTTTTTTTTTTTTTTTTTTTTTTTTTTTTTTTTTTTTTTTTTTTTTTTTTTTTTTTTTTTTTTTTTTTTTTTTTTTTTTTTTTTTTTTTTTTTTTTTTTTTTTTTTTTTTTTTTTTTTTTTTTTTTTTTTTTTTTTTTTTTTTTTTTTTTTTTTTTTTTTTTTTTTTTTTTTTTTTTTTTTTTTTTTTTTTTTTTTTTTTTTTTTTTTTTTTTTTTTTTTTTTTTTTTTTTTTTTTTTTTTTTTTTTTTTTTTTTTTTTTTTTTTTTTTTTTTTTTTTTTTTTTTTTTTTTTTTTTTTTTTTTTTTTTTTTTTTTTTTTTTTTTTTTTTTTTTTTTTTTTTTTTTTTTTTTTTTTTTTTTTTTTTTTTTTTTTTAAAAAAAAATCATTATGCACTACGTTTTTTATGAAGATGACCACCTTATAACTCCAAGTAAAAACACCACACAATGAAGTGCAGTGGTTGTCACTAGCTACCACCCTTCACAACATTTTCTGTCCATGACGCTCTTTTCACAGTCGATCCCAAAGGAAACGAACCATGTGCTAGCTATCGCTCTAGATCATTGTGTGAAGGCAGCTCTTTTTGACAGAAATATATTTGTTCCAAGGTATGCAAGAACACGCCATCAATTAAAGACAATCAACATCTCACCCGCTTTCAGAAGAGTCAGAACTTCATTTATGACTTAGTGGTGAAATATATGCAAAAATGCAAGGCATGCCTAATGCAAATAATACCCTATATGCATACACGCAATGCAAATATAATATATATACTAATATACAATACAATATAATATAATGGCATGCAAGCAATCAGAGAATGCATATCCCTAAGGATTTCCTTAGAGAGATAAATCTTTGAGCATCAAGGTTATGTGCTGGAACATATTTATGAACAATTAATCCATCATCAACCAAATTTCTAGTAAAGTGGCATAGCATGCTAGTACGATTAAGAGAATGTTGAACAGAATATTTGGAAACATTAGCCGCATAAGTAAGGTCAAAGAAAAGGTCAATGGCTTGTACCTCAGTTCCAAATTTAAGAAAAATGTGCTTCATCCACACCTTTTCTGAACAACAAGTTTCAGCCACAAAATTCTGATCGGTGTAAGAACATCCGTCAGACGTACTCCATTGATCAGCAACATTCTCATCCCTATCAGCATCACAATCTCTAATAATACCAGAACTCGTATCACATGAGTCAAAAGTCATATAATCAATCAAATAGCAATTATCATGCGATCTAGACCCTGTAAGAACACAATTATTATTCCTATCTGAAACCAAACATTCATTCAAGGTGAAACTCACAGAAAAGTCTTGATCACATAATTGACTCACACTCAGCAAATTCGCTTTCAAATTTTCAACAAGAAGAACATTTTGAAGTTTGGGCAATCCAGGAACATTCAAACATCCTATACCGAGAACTCTATTCATAACACCATCACCAAAGGTCACAAAACTAGAAGGAACAGGCAAAATATTAATCAAGTTAGATTTTAGACCTGTCATATGACGAGAACAACCACTGTCAAAATACCAATCAGAATTAGAGGTGGATTTCAATGCAAGTATAGAAGATAAGCAAACGTTCTTACTGCCTTTAGGAACCCAAATCTTTTTCTGTTCATGATTAACCACATCAACCTTTAGTTTAGGTGCTTTCAAGGGTACACCATATGGACTCCATTCATCAATTCGACCAGTATAAATATCATTATGCATCCTATAACACTTAGGGCGAATATGACCACGGATACCACAATAGTGACAAACAGGCACAAAGTTCTTACCAGAATTCTTACGCTGAGTTTTAGTAGAGTTAGGCTTACCATTCTTACCATCAATGCTGTAACCTTCTTTGACAAAGGTCAGGTCTGACTTACTCAGAGATGTGCTAGGTTCGCCTACTTTACCTTTCAGTTTTTGATCATGAGCGTTCTTACTCTGGTCTGAAGTACCTATTTGTTGACTCATCCTTTGAACTTCAGCAAATGAGGACTTGGGCTTGTTGATCATCTTGACAATCTCCTCACTCTTGCTGAGTTTCTCCTCCATTGTAGAACAATAACTCTTGAGCGTTACATGTTCTTCCATCACTCGACCGAGTTCTCTTTTGAGTGCAACAATCTCGGATTCCCTTTCATCTATAGTTTTCTGCAAGACAAACATTTCATTACGTAGAGACTCAATGATAAAAACCTTTTCATCACATACCTGCTTGGACAACTTCTGTTCATGTTCTAACATCGTGATTTTGGCAACAAATTCGTCCAGCTTATGTTCCTCCTTGCTGGTATGAACATCAGATCTGGTCAGCTTATCATTCAGTTCGCCATTCATCATGCGAGTTTTCTGAAGTTCATCCTTCAAGTAGGTGATCTCTTTCTCATGCTCTGCAGAACGATGTTGGAACACCTCGACTTGAGCTTGTAGCTTTTTCACAATTTTTCCAGCTTTGATGCTCGTCTCTAATGCAAGCTTATGGGTAGCCAAATCTACTTCAACAGAACCATCTCCAGAATCATCAGAATCACTATGAGAATTATACGTGTAAGAACACATACCTGAATCGGCATCACAAGGCTTATGAGAGGCTGTATAACACGTGAAGTTATTGAGAGAAGTGACGGCAAATTTGTTCGTGTGTTGCTGGTCATCATCGTCTTCATCATCATCCCACGTGGCTCGATAGGTTTTGTTCTTCCTCGTGAAATTCGGACAGTCTTTCTGGAAGTGTCCAAATCCCTTGCATTCACGGCATTGGTTCTTCTCTACATCTTGATTCTGAGTCTTCTGAGAATGTGAGTTGGAACGTCGTTCACCAGACTGCTGATTGATGTTCTTACTGAAGTCAGTAGGCTTCTTCCCTTGGAACTCCTTTTTCTTCTTTAACTGAGAGAAGTGGCGTGTAAGAACATCCAAAGCCTTAGCAATACTTTCAGCATCAAGAGACTCATCATCAGAATCCTCTTCGTCTTCAGCCTGTGTTGGAACATTGGCTTTCAGGGCTAAGCCTTTGCTTATTCCCATCTTATCATAACCACGATTGATTTCAAAAGTTCGAAGTTCTCCAAGTAAGTCATCGAGACCAAGAGGCTCGACTCGCTGAAAGCTCTCAAGTGCGGTGATCTTTTCACGGAATCGTTTGGCAAGGGTCCTCATGATCTTTTGCACTTGCCTCGCCTCAGAAATTTCCTCACCAAGCATGGCACTTTGGTTAACGAGATCACAAAAACGTGCATAGTACCTATCAATATTTTCATCATCCTTCATGCGAATAGTGTCGAACTCCGTGGAAATCATTTGGAGCTTGGAAGACTTCACGGCGTTGGTACCCTCAAATTGCCTCTCAAGAATCTTCCATGCGTCGCGAGCTGTTGTGCACTGGATGATCATCTTATGGCGAGTTGGATCCACAGCAGACATGATAGCATATAATGCACGAAAGTTTGCTTCTTCTGCTTGTCTTTCAACATCAGTCCAAAGATCCCTTGGTTTCTCGACTAGAACATGAGCAGCCGAGGTTGATGACTTTGATTCCGAGGGAGCTTTCGGCATGAGTGGTGTGGTCCAGCCTGACTCAATGACTTGCCAGGTTCCTTTACCCAAAGAGCGAATAAATATCACCATCATGGATTTCCAGTATCCATAGTTAGAACCGTCGAGGTACGGAGGGCGCGAAACGGACATGCCGTCGTGAATCATGGTGACCAATCACAGTCCCAAAGATCTTTATCCCGTATGTAGAACAGGAACACTGCTCTGGTGCCAATTGAAACGTAGGTATTTTGTAACGAGTGCGCTCAACTTGTAGTACGAACTAAAACAAAAATTATAAAATGCGGAAGCAATAAATCGAAGATTTAAAAACTCTTCAGGGAAGCGTCCCACTTCCCCTCAGAGCTCTTTCATTGATAAACCGTTTGTGCACACTTGTATAGTTTGGACTTACACGACTCGAACTCCCTTCTAGTCTAGCCACAACTACACACGATTCTATCAACTACTTCTCCGACCACGTCCCGTGGATTTTACCTCTCGAATCCCTCGAGCTAAAGACAGTACTTAATCCCTAAGCACTGATCACACAAGTGTTTGAATGAAAAACAAAGAAAAGAAAACAAAACAGACTTCAGTTCTTCGATGACGTAAGAACACCGAAAAACTGACCAACGAAAATAAAACACAAAAAGCTTGCAGCTCGAATATGGAATAGAATATAATGCTCTCAGCTCTCCAAAATTCGTTCTTCAAGCAGATATATATACAATCCCTAGGATGTGGAGTGTTCTCCAAGTATAGGACTCCTTTTGTTTTTGATTTCCTTCCAAGTTTATCCAAAGAGATATGGTAGGTGTAGATCTCTATCTTCTCTTTCCTTCTTATATGATTTCCTACAAAATATATCCATAATAAGATCATGTAAATCTAATATATATGTATATAATCGAATATATAAATATAAATATATATAAATATATTCGAATATATAAATATAAATTAAATAAAAGAACTTCCCTTTTTATTTTTCATGCTTGCAAGAATATATCTTCACTTATATTAATTTTTGAACTTCATTGCCAAAAATATAACTCTTTCAATTTTTATTTCTTAATTATGCCTCATTCAATTCTTAATTTATCCTAATGAATCCTTTTCGTTGCTTTAAAATGCCAAGAAACACATTTCTTTTCAATAGAAAGCAACATTGGTTCAGTGAATTGATTATTTCATCTTCCGCCTCTCCTCATCCAATTTTTAGCCAAGTCTACAATAAACACCACCATCAACTACGCATTAAGCTTATCAACACAAAGTACAAATCTTTAAACTTAACCATTTCATAAAAATTGATCCATCACTCCAACTACAACAAGCAGTCACTCCATTGATGCATCTCCAAACAAAAGNCCTACACCAAAGACGACTCGTTATCCTGTTCGACTTCCGAGGCCAGCTCGTCATCCTCCGCCTCGAAACAATCAATCCCGCAAGCCGAGTGAGCTTCCCCAAACGCCTTAATATGGTCCTTGAGCGACCTCTTGTGCTTGAAATCTGAGCCGCACGTGCAATACCAAAGCTTCCCACAGTTCTTCTCGTGGGTCCGCCAATCCCCCCTCACCGCAAAGGCTTTCCCGCACTTACGGCACATAAACGGCTTTATTCCGTGCTTGCGTTTGTAGTGTGTCTGTAGGGTTCGGAAGTCCTTCAAAGGCTTGGCTCGTGGGTGGTCGATGTTGTTTCGGCAACCGGCCGCACAACAATAGCACGGCAGCCGAAGCATGGCTGTCGGCTGCGTGCCCCTCAAAGACTCGGGGCCTTTACGGTATTGGGACCCGTGGCCCCACATGTGCATCTGCACATTACATTTTTGTATACATTACTTCAAATAAACCTCCAATAAAAAATTGACATGTCAGCATTTGTTAACTACATCTAAAGTTCATATCAAATTAAAAGATATGATCAATATTGAAAGAACGGAATCATATCGTGACGGGACTATGTAGTCATTCCCTAATATTAGATAGTATGAATTATTCTTTTCCTTTGTGGAGATTGAGAAACTTGTAATTGGTTTATTTATTTATTTTTTTATGATGTAGTATCTGATGAAAAGTAAATGATTAATTCCAGGTAAAAATTGATTAAAAGAGGGAAGGTATTGATTTCAGATTGACACAACTTCCAATGTGTGTAATACAAAAACACTTTTAAGGACAAAGGCACATTGTGTATGTTGTTGAATCAAATAAAGAGTGTGACTGACCAGGTTCTCAATTGGATTCAGATAGATTATGAAGATCCCCAAAACCCCCCAGTCATTCATTTTTTACACTTCAGAAGATTAGAAAAAGGATTATCAATAAATCCAAATATCTAAATAATAATTTAAAAGAAAAAGGCATGAAAACCCTAAGGACCCATACTAATAATTTGTTCTATCAAAAACCCCAGGAAAACAAATTTATGAAAAAAGTGAAAGGTTGAAATTGCTCTATAGCGCCATAAAAGATGTGTTTCCCAAACAAAGAGGGTCATGGGCTTCCTCTTTTTCCGCAAAATCAAAAGGACAACTAAAAAAGAAAATAAAATATATAAAAAAAAAGAATTGAAGTTAATTCCAAATCAGAGAAAAAAAAGGCCAATAATTGTTTGCTTCTTTATACTGTTACCTGCATGTTGTTGTATCTGTTGAAAGTCTTGAAGCAAAGCGGGCACGAAAACTGGGTCGGGCCGATCAGAATCTGGGTCGGAGTCGGAATCCAATACTGTCCTCTGTTAATTGGGCTCGCGGGGTAATTATTATTACACCCATAACCGCTGTTGGCAACGGTAACTTCTTCTTTATTACTGATGCAATTTACCGTGGTACTGTCCCTCGACACCGTATCCGAATCACAAAAACCGCCAGCTGGAGTCGAAAGCCCTAAATTCAGGTTCACTTCCTCAAACTCGTCAATTTTTGAAGTCTCCATAGGAAAACTACAATCAATATTGTAATTATGACGACGATTAATATTATTATTATTATTATTAAAAGATGACGAATCTTGATTTTCCGAGGTGTTAGGCCTTGTTGGGCTCAAGCGGAGGAGGGGCAAAGCTTCTTTGAGCGGCGGCGATGATGGTGACGATGCCACGTGGCACTGTGAGTAGAGCAAAGGATGGTAAGGATGGTTGTATGACGTGGAGGAGAAGGTTGATGGGGTAAAAAGGTAATTATGGTTATGGTTATGGTTATGGTTAGGGTTAAGGTTGAAATAATTGAGATATCCATTGTGGTGGAAAAAGTTTGAGTTGTAATTAGGGTCAGCCATTATGATGATGAGGTTGATGAGCTTTTGGGAGAGAATAAAAATGGAGAAAGTAAGAGAGAGAGAGAGAGAGAGAATGGATGAATAAGAATAACAACAACACTCACGAGCTCACAAGAAAAGTGAAATAAGTGAAGAAAGAAAACCTAGCTACCATATTTAAACTAGTGGAGGACTTTTGTAGGTCCTTGTAGGGGTGGTTAAAAGGATAATTAATTACTACTTGTGTGTATGATGGGTGGTGGTAAAAGTAAAACCTAACTGAAAATAGAGACATGGATAGACAAGATATATATCATCACTTTGTGAAATGTGACTAAACAAGAAAGAGAGAGAAAAATGTTTATTATAAAAGAAACAAGAATGGTGGGATTTGTGTGTGTGAGAGAGAGAGAGAACATGTTAAATCTTGGAACTATGACAAAACAAGAGAGGCCCGGCATTTTTTGTACAGTAACTAAAAAAGACATGAGATGGAAAAAAAAAAAAAAAGTGTCACTTTTTCTTAACAAAAATATGTAATTATCTAACATTTTTATGATAATCACACCAGTAAGGGATAAGCCACTGCCAAGACATGGGGCAGGGAATTAGGGTTGGAATATATGTTGTTGTCTCTCTCAAATACAGCCCACTCAAAATTAAATAATTAAAAAATCATAGAAATTAAAATATGTAGAGAGGAGAGAGAGAGATTTAAATAGATATATACATACAGACAGATACATACAAAGCCTAGCTGCATTTCACTGTTTGTTGTGTATATAATTTCTTGGGAAACAAAGAGCATGAATATGAACCAAAAATGAGATTGGGGCAGCAAATGCATAGGTATGGGTGAGCTCTGGTCGGGGGCCAGAAGATTGTATTGTACACACATAGACATCACTGTTTGGCTGTATCTCCTTCTTATCATTTACTGTTCACATTAATATGTTCCTTTACATCATTTTTTTATTTCTATTTTTATTTTTATTTTTAAAAAAGTCTTCCTTCTACATATGTACATCAAACTCACTGTTCACTCGTCATGACCCCTTTTTCACACTCTGTTAGCTGCTAGGCAGATGATGATCAAATTGTGAAAAGACTTGACTGCCTTTTGACTTATGAATTATTATTATTATTATTATTATTATTATTATTATTATTATTCTTTGACATATATGATTAGTATATCACATTTATTTTTTGGGATGGTTAATAGTTTATAGCTACAACCACATGCACCGGTGCGTGTACGAGGAGAGAGAGAGAGGGATGTAAGAATGAGCTAAAGACCCACCATTTGGTTAACTTCATTTATTTCTCTGCCTTGCTGATAAGAAGTAACAAACTCGATAAATGTAGAATTCATTTATTCTGGTCATATGGAATACTATAGTGTGGTAACTATCATGCAGCTGCATGTATTATTGAGTCTGTACCCACATAATTAATGGCACAAAACTACTATTTTAATTCATCAATATATTAGGGCTAGCCTCATATGTAACCTTTAATTTGTTTTATTTTTTTTTTTTTTCATCAAAATAAATGGTGATATTGGATATCATACCCGGTTAGCTAGACCCGAGAAACCAACCAACTGGATCGGGTAAACCGATAAGTCGTACATAGAGCATTCAGGTCGATAGAGAGGCATATCGAAGGTATGCTGTACTGTGTACAAGTCGAGCTAGGGTCCTCGAAGGATCCGATAGAACCTCGACCTATCTGGTTGAGCCATATGGAAAAAGTGTTCTACCTAGTGATGCTGGTCTCACGGTTAGACCGTCTGAGGCAAAAAAAAAAAAAAAGGTTTTATAATCCCTTAACTGACCACTTTTTTATTTTGGTCCCAGTAAAGGTCTATTTTTTTAAAATGGTCCACTAGATTAAAAAAGAATAGTTTTTTGGTCCTATGACCGCCTGTAGCAGGTCACTGTAACCGACTGGTTTGCGTTTAAATTTCATTTAATATTTCCTTTTTCTTTACTGAAGTGGCAGTTAGGTGGTGGCAAGTCACCGTGACAGGCCCGCCTACGTATAAATTTTATTTATTTATTTTGCTGACATGGCAGTTAGGTCGTGGAATAATAAAAAAAATGACCAAAACTAGAATTTGAACCTTAGACCTCTTGAAATTAAAGAGGTGCATTAGTCACTTGATCTACATAACATCTTATGTGAAACATTTGAATTAAATTATACCTATCAATATTGATTTATCCAAAAAAAAAAAATAATAATAACTCAATTTATGTCACTTTTAATTGTAAAACTTATACATAATTTATTTATTAAATATGTAATAGTTATAAAATTAAAATATGTAAATTAATTAAATAATTAAGTCATATTATATTATTTAATTATCTTCTTTTATTTAAATTTTACTAAAACATTATGTTGTTTTTATACAAATTTACATTATTTAGTTTATTTAAATTTCAATAATATATTAAATAAATAAATATATTAAATTTTTATTATATGTTTTGTTGAATTATATATTAAAAGTGTTATAATTTATAATTTATTATTTACTATATTAATATTTATTTATTTTATTATTTATTAACTGAATAGAAAATATAGTATATAATAAATAATATAATAAAAATAGAATTAAATAAATTATATAATAGAAATATAAATTAAAGTATTATATTTTTATTTATTTATTATATTTATTTTTAGTTTTTAATTATTATATATTTAAAATTATAAATATTATTGCAATAATAAAATTAAAATTAAAATAAATAAATAAATAACAAAAATAAATTAAATGAATTTAAAAAATAAATAAAATAAAATTATGTAAATTTACTCTAAATAAATAACACAATGTAAAAAGAAATAGCACGAAAAATTTAATACATATTCTTTATTTATTTAATTTACTATATTTTATATGTAATTAATACATATTTAATAAATAAATTATGTAACGTTTTATAATTAAAAGTGGTGTAATAATTCAATTAATACCACTATAATTTTATAAATCATAAATAATTTATTTATTAAATATAATTTAATTATGAAATAAAAATCTACAAATTAAATAACAAAAAATTATAATATATTATTTATATATTTATTTTAAATATACATATTTGATATAATTATTTATTTAAATATATTACATATATTTAATATAAAAATTAACTTAAATTATTAAATAAGGTAAATCAGTATAATAAACAACATAAATGATAATAAAAATTAAATAAAATAAGGTAATTAAATATGTTTAATTAAATTATTTAGAAATTTATAATTAAAAGTGATATTAAATAATAATTCAATTTATACAACTTTTAATTATAATAATTAAACATAATTAAATAATTATATTATATTATTTAATATATTTATTTAATTAAACTATTAATATATTTATTTATTTAATATGTTAAATAATATTCTATAATATAATATATTTATTTATATAATTTAATATATTTACTTATGTAATTTAAAATATTTATTTATTTATTAAATATTTATTTAATATATAAGTAAAATTAATTTAAAATTAAAGAAGTTAAATTAGTATAAAAAACATAAACGATAATAAAATTTAAATAAAATAAAGTAATTAAATAATATAATATTAATTAATTATGTATTTGATTTATAGATTGTAATTTTGTAATTAATGCAAATTTAATAAATAAATTATGTATAAGTTTTGTAAATAAAAGTGGCATAATTTGACTTATTATTATTTCTTTATTTTTTTCCATAAAACAATATTGATAGATATATAATTGAAGTCAAGTGTATAACATAAGAGGTTGTAGACATATTCACTAATGCTCCTCTTTTGTTGCAGGAGGTCCAGGGTTCAAATCCTGGTTTTGGTCATTTTTTTTATTATTCCGCCACCAAACTGTCACATAAAAAAATAAATAAATAAAAATTACCTTCTGACTTTTCCTCCTAGATAAAGGTAAATTCGCTCTTTCTCTCTTGTAAAACAAATAGATGTTCATAAAAAAATAAATAAATAAAAATTACACGTAGGAGGTAATTATGTCACCTCAGCAAAAAAAGAAAAGATAAAAATAAATGAAATTTACACGTAGGCGAGCCGGTCAAGATGACCTGCAACAGGCGGTCATAGGACCAAAAAACTAACTTTTTTCACCTTGATGATCATTTCCAAAAATGGACCTTTCCAGGGCCCAAAAATTAAAGAACGGGCCAGTTAAGGGACTAAAAAAAATATTTTTGTCGACCGTCTGATAAAGAATACGGATGGACAAAACGGTATCTAACTCGGAGTAGTGTTACTCAGGGATTGGACCACGTGTCACAATAGAATTAGGTTGTCTAACCACATGACAAGTCTAGCTCCTAGGGCAGTGCAAGCCGTACAAACGAGCAGCCTGGGCAGCTAGGTCAACTTCCAGGCAAGCTTAGGGAACAAGATATCACACCCTTATATAAAAGGGTGTGGTCGGTTAGTTCTCTCCCTTTGACACTTTTATCACTAAATATATACATTGTTCATCATCTCCTACATATCTCTAACTTAAGCAGTAGAGCCGCTTTACCGGAAAACCCATCCGGTGTCGAGTTTTTGCAGGTATCTATTTGTTATGTTTTTGTGGTGTTTTTCATGTGTTTTATGTGCCGTAGTCGAGTCTTTTTAGGTCCGTTTTTAGTGTTGATCGGTCAATTTTCTTGTGTTTCGTGGATTTTTGCGTTCATCGTGTGTTTTTTGTGTTTTGATGTACTTTTTCTTCTCTTTTGGTGTGGTTTAGGTCCATTATGCAAAGTTAGGGAGGTTGAGCCATTCGAGCCGTCGAGCCGTTCGAACCATTGTTGAGTCATTCGAGCTATCCGAGTCCTTTCCGAACTGTTCAATCCATAACCAAGCCATCCGAGTCGAGAAGATAGAGATTACCCGAGGCTGCACGAGAAGCACTCGCCGAGAACCTCAGGCCGCGAGGTTGCGAGAGAGATCGAGGCAGCACCCGAGCACTCACCAGCGAGCGCCCATCTGC